GTGTTCCAGTGAACCCTGGGTCCAGTCCCCAGAACCCCAGACTTCGGCCTTCCTGACCCCACCACCAGTTCCCCCTGTGCAATGAAAATTGATGCAGCCAGGCTCTAGGACACCCTCAGTGACCCCACCTGCTACTATTCCTGCCCTTGTGTGTGAGTAGGGCTGGGCTTTGTGGCCCAGAGGGATGGTGTGCCTTCCAGATCATAGAGGAGGCACAACTTCTGCTCTGCTCTCTTCAGATGGCTCATTTGGGAATAGCAAGTAGCTTGTGTGGACACATGTGGGGTGAGCTGAGGCCTCTGGCCAGCAGCCCTTCATGGCATTGAGCCCTCCTTGCTGAGGACATGTAGGCCTCTGTCACACTTTCAGATGACCGTGGCCCTCCTGACATCCTGACTGCCACCTGCTAGACACCTGGAGCAAGGAAAGCAGCAGAACCCCTTCTAACTGAGGCACTAGGGGCAGGAGGAGTGCTGTTTTAAGCTGTTAGTGTTGAGTGCAGTTTGTTATGCAGCACGTGATGACTGATACAAACCTGCATAACTGTCAGTGGCAGTCCAGTGAGCTTGATTGGGTGTGCCTGGGAATCATGAGGCAGCGCTCTGCTGCTGGGTCAGGGATGCTTTTCCCTGGCTGGTCAGTTGCTCAGCTCCTCCTTTCATCCATGAATATTTCCGAAGCATAGACTTGGAACCAGCCACTGTGCTAGGGGCTGGGACACAGCTGAGTCACACACAGGAGCCTGAAGTGACTTGGGGACTGGTTGGATGTGGGGAGTAAGGATAAGGGAGGGTCCAGGAGAAGCCCAGGGTTGTGGCTTGGGCACTTGGGTGGGTGGTGGTGTGGGGCACTGAGACAGGGTGGGGCACCTCACAAGACAATCTTTGGGTGTGTTGATTTGAGGTGCTTAGGGAAATGTGGGTGACACTGGGCAGGCAGTGCACACATGAGCTTAATGCTCTTAAGAAAATTTGGTCTAGAGAAATATATGTTCAGGGATTGTGGGGGTAACGGCGATGGAATTAAAATTGCAAGAGGAGATGGACATCCCAGGGAGAAGACTGTGGTACAAAGTCAGACAAAGACCGGGGCTGAGCCCAGAGATGCCAATATATTTTTCTTTTAACTTAAAATATTTCTTTTTGATGGTACTGAGGGTGGAACTTAAAGAGCGCTGAGCTACATTATCAGCCCTTTTTATTTTTTTTATTTTGAGACAAGGTCTTATCAAGTTAGGTTCAAACATGCAATCCTCCTGCCTCAGCCTACTGAGCAGCCAGGATTATGGATGTGTGCCACCATACCATGCTCTTTTTAACTTTTTATTGTCACAATTTCAGACTGATGTGAAGGTGGCCAAACTATTATAAGTATTTCTCATATTCTCTTCACCTGGATTTCTTTCTTTCTTTTTTTTTTTTTTTGCTTTTTATCTGGGGAGTGGATTTCTTGAATGTTAGTGTTTGATCCCATTTTAAAAATGCTTTTTTTCTGAATCATTTGAGAATGAGTTGAAGAAATATTCTTCCTTTCCTCCTGGGCAGTTCTGGGAATAAGGACAAGTCGTTCATAGCATGATATAGTTGTCACCATCAGGAAATTAACGTGGGAACGGACTTTGAAATAAGCCACTGGCATTTATTTCTGGTTTTGCCAATTTTCCCTGCAACATCCTTTGCAGCAAGAGAAAGTGCAGCTTCCGGCCCCTGCTTGGTTGTCTCTTGAGTGTCTGTCAGTGAGGGGTAGGACTTTAGTCATCTGTCTTTCATGATGCTGATCTTTTCAGCAAGGACAGGACAGTTATTCTGTAGAGTGAATCTTGATCTGCATTTTTCTGGCTTCCTCAGGATTGGTCAGATTCTATGTCCCTTGCAAGAACAACCCAGAAGGGATGTGTGTCCTTCCAGAAGCCACTGGCTTCTACGATGCTCTCACTGGGATGTCCCTGGTGCCCCTCGGTGGGGAGCTGCCCACACTCCTCCCTGTGTGTGAAGTTGGATTCTGTCTGTTTTTTTTGAAGCAGGGTCTCACAGTGTAGCCCAGGCTGGCCTTGAACTCATGCTGATTCTCATCCTCAGCCTCCCTAGTGCTGGGATTATAGGCACACGCCACCACACCTGGTTTCTCTCCGCAATGAATCATCCTCACCAGTGCTGAACAGTTGCGTGGAGGCAGAGGAGCCAGCAGGGAGTCTGTGAAAGGGCACTGGGGCCTGGGCAGGGACTCTGGGAGGAGGCTCTGGAACAGGGATCAGAGCTGAGTGAGGACTCAGTGCTCGGTCATTTTGGTCCAGTGTGGCCAGGAGGCCAGTCCAGAAGAGGAGGAAGTGTGTCACAGGGAGTGGCTGCCACACACAGGTGGGGGAGGGCTCTGGTCACACTGAGGCTGGGGGGCGCTGTGGGCCTGAAGCTTCTGTGGTGAGTCAGTGTGCAGGTAGCGGGTGCAGACACCATGGAAAGTGTCTCCGGGGGAAGTTTGTCCAGGTGGAGGAGACATGTGTAGTCAGGAAAATTTTTTTCTTTTCTTTTTTTTTTCTGAACTCAAGGCCTCTGCACTGAGCTAATCCCTAGCCCTTTTCATTTTTTGAGACAAGCTCTTGCTAAGTCACTAAACAGGCCAGATTGAGCTGGAATTTGTCTTTTTTTTTGTCTTTTTGAGACAGGGTCTTGCTATGCAGTTCAGGCTGGCCTTGAGCTCACTTTGTAGCCCAGGCTGGTCTTGAACTTGCAACGATCCTC